TAATTCTTCCAATCCATGAACATGGGATATGTTTGCATTTATTTATATTGTCTTTAATTTCTTTCAACAATGTTTTGTAGTTGTCACTGTACAATCTTTCATCTCCTTGGTTAAGTTAATTCCTAAGTATTTTATTCTTTTTGATACTATTGAATTGGAATTGTTTTTGTAATTTCCTTTTCAGATTGTTTTTTGTTAGTATGTAGAAATGCAACTTTTTCTGTGTTGACTTTGTATCTTACTACTTTGCTGAATTCACTTATTAGTTCTAACATTTTTGTTCTGAAATCTATAGAGTTTTCTATGTATAAGATCATATCAACTGCAAACAGAGATAATTTTACTTCTTCCTTTCCAATTTGGATGCCTTTTATTTCTTTTGCTTTCCTAATTGCTCCTGCTAGAACTTCCAGTACTACGTTAAATGGAAGTGGTGAAAGCAAGCATCCTTGGCTTGTTTTTTATCTGAGAGGAAAAGCTTTCAGTCTTTCACTGTTGTATTTGCTGTTCTCTGTGGGTTTTTCATATATAGCTTTTCTTATGTTGTGGTAGTTTCGTTCTGTTCCTAGTTTTTTGAGTGTTTTTATCATGAAAGAGTGTTGAATCTTGTCAGATGCTTTTTCTGCATCGATTCAGATGATCATTTGTTTTTTTTCCCTTCATTCTGTTAATGTGGTTTATTACATTGATTGATTTTCATATGTTGCACCGTGATTGCATTCCAGGAATAAATCCCACTTAATTGTGGTGTGTAATTCTTTTAATATTGTGCTGAATTTGGTTTGCTAATATCTTTTGGAGGATTTTTGCTTCGATATTCATAAGAGATAGTGGTCTGTAGTTTTCTTTAGTGTCTTTGTTTGGCTTTGGTATTAAGGTAATGTTGACCTCATAGAATGAGTTAGGAAGTGTCCTCCTCTTCAATTTTTTTTTGTGTGTGTGAGGAAGATTAGCCCTGGGCTAACATCTGTTGCCAATCCTCCTCTTTTTGCTGAGGAAGATTGGCCCTAGGCTAACATCCATGCCCATCTTCCTCTACTTTATATGGGACATTGCCACAGCATGGCTTGACAAGCAGTGCATTGGTTCGCACCCAGGATCCCAACCTGTGAGCCCCGGGCCACTGAAGTGGAGCATGCAAACTTAACCACTATGCTATCAGGCCGGCCCCCTCCTCGTCAATTGTTAGGAACAGTTTGAGAAGGATTGGGTCAATTCTTCTTTAAATATGTGATAGAATTCACTATGAAGCCATCAAGTCCAGGACTTTTCTTTGTCAGATTTTTGATTACTGATTTGATTTCCTTTCTAGTTATAAATCTATTCAGATTGTTTATTTCTTCATGATTGAGTCTTGGTAGGTTTTTGGCTTCTAGGAACTTGTCCATTTTATCTAGGCTATCTAGTTTGTTGGCGTACGATTGTTCATGTATGTTAGAACTTTGATATTTATCTCAGAGCTATTGGATGTGTTTTGTGTGTTTTACCCCAATCTTTTTTTTTCATTATATTTCAGTTATGGTTATTTCTTATGACTAGCCTGAAGTTACCTGACTCTTTCCTCAGCTCTCTTGAATCTGTTTATTAGTCTGTTGAAGTCATTCTTCTTTTCTTTTAATGTTTTTTTCATTTCTGTTTGATTCTTATAGTTTTCATCTCTCTGCTGATATTTCCCACTAATCTTACATGTTGACTATCTTTACCATTAGATTCTTTAACATTTTAATCATAGTAATTTTAAATTTCCTGTTTAATGATTTCAGCATCTGTTTCTTGTGTGAGTCTGGTTCTATTGATTGCTTTGTCTCTTGTCAATGTGTTATTTTTCTTGCATTTTTATGTGTCTTTTAGTTTTTGTTGAAAGTATGTCATTCTGTTTGGTGATAATAGTATTTATGTCTGGAAATGAGCTTGCCTTTCTTTCTGCTAAATCTTTAGTTTCAAAGAATGCTTGAGATGTTTGAAAGAAGCACTAAGTAAGGTTCCTATATATAAAAGAAGCTATCACAAGCTTTGGAGTTAAAGGTATCCAAATTTATTTAACATTTTAGTGTTTTTTTGTTATTAAATGTTTTTTTGTGGTCACTTTTGGAGGAGGTCTTACTCTCTGTAATATATTTTCTCATTTATACTTTTTAAAACAGACTTTTAAGTTATGAACTGAACTTACCCCATTTTACAGGTGTGGAAAGTTAAGTAAAATAACTTAACTAAAGATCAACACCTATCAAATGACAAAATTGGGACTTGATTCCTGTGGTCTATCTGATTTCGTATCTTGTGTTCTTAACTGTTATCCTGTTTAGATGCATCATTGAACTTAACCAAAAAATTATTAGGTATCAGTTATATTGAAGGTCCTGTGATAAGTGTTATGGAGGGATAACATCAATATGATATGATCTGCATTTATATGCTAATATTATAAGAATGGACTTCAAAGAGTATCCCTTTTCACTAAGGGATTGGAATGGTAGAAATACACAGTAATAGATCTTACTTACAAATGATACTTGGTTGATGTATTTTAGGGAAACTTTTCTGGTTACTGTGAAGGATTCATTACCATTGTAAATGGTCCAACCCTCCTCAGGAGTGGGTCCATCATTGGCTTGGTTCCCAGGCCATTACTTATTCAGAGTTCATGAGTGACACAGTCCAATAGATACTTTACAAAGATAAATTGAACTGTGGAGCATAGTATGTGGATAGAATTAGACATATGGAAGTGATAATTAATACAATAAAGAAGCTGAAACACAATAACAGGATAAGAAAGAACAAAGAACATTCTCCCTAAGCTTTAGAGGACACATTCAGAAAGGATAGGGAGCAAGAGAAATCACTAGAGAAAAATGAGTTGGTTAGGGTTTTAAAAGAATCAGAATAATCTAGCAATGCTATGTGATAGAACTTTCTATGATAATGAAAATGTTCTATATCTGTTCTGTTCAATACAGTAGAAAATACTAGCTGCTTTAAATTAAATTTAAAGCTAGAGGACTTCCCAAGCATTGTCAACCTGGGATTTAATCCATTGTCTTTGAGGGCAGGTTTACTTCTGCCAGTTATGCTTCCAGCAGACCAGCTTCCTTGCTCACTTACTTCTCTGCCTTCACATTGTCACTTCAGTTTGGACAGGTAATTCCTTACTCTCTTTAGTTTTTTGGTTTTAAGAAGTTTTTGTTCTCCGTATTTTATTTAGTAATTTGTTTTCATTGGAAATGTTGGTCTAATTAACCTAATCTACTATTATTAGAAACAGGCATCGTGTTTTGTTTTTAATTTCATGGACGAATACTATGCTCATAATTTTCCTGCGTTTTATGGCATCTGTCTTTTGTGTCTTTCTCCTTTATTACTTTTTCTCATGTCCTTTTTTTTCTATTCATTTTTTTTTGCAGGATTTTTTCATAGGTCCCATGTTGAGAAAATTTTTATTGTCATTCTTCTTTTCATTGGTGGTGTTCTTCCTATAAGCTGGGCTAGTAGGCAGCTTGAATACTTGATCAATGTCTCCAGACACTTTTCTTACCTACATTTTTCTCTGTATATGACTCCCTTCTTGGCTGGCCAGAAGCTTACCTGAAGTCCCATGTATTATAGATTCTTCTTTCTGCCTCTTGTGTTCTTGTTTCTATTCTTATTTTCGGAGTGGATAGGGGACATAGATATCTTTTTTCTATTTAATGAAAGTTCTGTTTTGTTTCTCTAGATGGGATTGCTCTGTTTGTACGTGGAATGGCTACCACAAAGTTTGTCTTACAATTTAGTTCTCTGCTAGTTTCTAACCTTGCATTTCCTGTATTTCCACATGCTTCTCTTTGGGTACCACTGTATTTCTTTCCCTGCCTTAAAGAGTCTGGTGATTGATTTAGAAATTAGTACCATCTTTCTAATGGCCCCTTATTTCTTTATATATGTAATGAGGCTTTGAATTAGTTAATTTCACATATTCCCTCTCCAGTTAGTGATTTCTTTGCAGGATTATGTTTCTAAAACTTTTTTTGTAATTTATCAGTTCAAAAGTTAGTAGGTACTACAGGGAGAAAATGTAATTTTTTTTTTAATTTCTTGAATCTTCTGTTAAAAGATATTGCTCCTCACAAAAATCTGCATATGAATGTTTATAGCAGTTATTCATAATTGTCAAAAATTGGAAGCAACCAAGATGTCTTTCAATAAGTGAATGGATAAACAAACTGTGGTATATCCATAGAATGGGATAATATGCAGCAATAAAAAGAATGAGCTATCAAGCCATAAAAAGACATATATGAACCTTAAATACATATTCAGTGTAAGAAGACAGTCTGAAAAAGTTACAGTATGATTCCACCTATATGATATTACGGAAGAGGCAAGACTATAGAGATAGGAAAGAGATCAGTTATTGTCTGGGGGCTTCATGGGGAGAGGGAGGAGAGATGAATAAGTGGAACACAGAGGATTTTGAGGGCAGTAGAAGTATTCTATGATACTGTAATGGTGGGCACATGACATTATGCATTTGTCAAAAGCCATAGAACTGTACAACACTGAGTGAACCCTATTGTAAACTATGGATTTTAGTTAATAATAATGTATCAATGTTGGTTGATCAGTTGTAACAAATGTACCACACTAATGAAAGATGTTAATAATAACAGAAACTGTATGTGTGACTGATGGGTGGTGGGTAGGAGGGGAGTATGTGGGAATTCTGTACTTTCTGTGCAGTTTTTCTGTAAACCTAAAACTTATTCTAGAAAGAAAAACCTATTAATTAATTAAAAGATACTGATGCCTGATAAAGAGTTCATAAATATTGACTATACAAAGTAATCAAATAACCATAGGTAGTATCTAAGTAAAGTAAGTAAAAAACATTATGTGAGAATATCTTTCTTTTTTATTGTTAACAATTTGGTCTTTATTATGCCTTTTTCTTTTTAGAGTACCTGCAGCCACTCCTGTTCCTGTGTTTATTTTATTTTTTTCTTTTTGGTCTTCTCTATTAGGTGTACTAGCCCTGTCTTGGTACCCACCTGATTCAAATGATGAGAATGGAGAACCTACTGATGACTTGGTACCAACTATTTTGGATAAAGCTCATAAATATAATCTGAAGGTATTTTATTTTATTTTTTTGTTGAGATATAATTGACATATAACATTATATTAGCTTCAGGTATTCAACATAATGATTCAATATATGTATATATTGTGAAATGATCATCACAGTAAGTCTACTTAACAACCATCACTATACATAGTTACAAATTATTTTTTCTTGTAATGAGAATTTTTAAGATCTCTTTTCTTAGCAACTTTCAAATATACAATACAGTATTATTAACTATAGTCACCATGCTGTAGATTACATCCCTAGGACTTATTTATTTTGTAACTGGAAATTTTACCTTTTAACCATCTTTACCCATTTCACCTCCCCACTGCCTCAGGTAACCAGAAATCTGTTTTGTGTAACTATGAGTTGTTTATTTGTTTTTAAGATTCCACATGTAAGTGAGATCATACGATATTTGTCTTGCTCTGGCAGACTTATTTCACTTAGCATAATGCCTATAAGTTCCATTCATATTGTAGCAAATCGGATTTCCTTCTTTTTTTATGGCTTAGTAATATTCCATTGTATATATGTGTATACAGTTATTTTCTTTATCCATTCATCCATTAATGGACACTTAGGTTGTTTCCATTTCTTGGCTATTATAAGTAATGATGCAGTGAGCATCTTATATCTTATTGAGTTAGTGTTTTTGATTGCTTTGGATAAATACCCAGAAATGGAATTGGTGGATCATATGGTAGTTCTGTTTTTAATTTTTTTAAGAACTTCTATACTGTTTCCCATAGTGGCTGCATCAATTTATATTCTTACCAACAGTGCACAAAGGTTCCCTTTTTGTCACATCCTTGCCAACACTTATTTCTTGTCTTTTTGATAATAGCCATTCTAACAAATGTAAAATGATATCTCATTGTGGTTTTGATTTGCCTGATGATTAGTGATGTGGAGCACCTTCTCATGTGCCTGTTGGCCATCTGGATGTCTTCTTAGGGAAAATGTCTATTCAGAACCTCTGCCCATTTTTTAATTGGATTGTTTGTTTTTTAGCTATTGAGTTGTATGAGTTCTTTAAATATTCTGGATATTAATCCCTTATCAGATACATGATTTGCAAATATTTTCTCCCATTCAGTCGGTTGCCTTTTCATTTTGTTGGTGGTGTCCTTTGCTGCGCAGAAGCTTTTTAGTTTGATGTAGTCCAACTTGTTTATTTTTGCTTTTTTGCCTTTGCTTTTGGTGTCGAATACAAAAAATCATCACCAAGACCGATGTCGAGGAGCTTTACTGCCTCTTGTTTTCTAGGAGTTTTATGGTTTCAGGTCTTATGTTTAAGACTTTAATCCATTTTGAGTTTATTTTGTATACTCTGTAAGATAGTGCTTTAGTTTCATTCTTTTTTTTTTATACTTTTTCTCTTACATTTAGGTCTGTGATCCATTTTGAGTTAATTTTTGTCTGTGGTGTTAGGTACGTATTTAGTTTCATTCTTTTTTGTGTGGCTGTCCAGTTTTTTCCCACACCATTTATTGAAGAGACTCTCCTTTCCCCATTGTATATTCTTGGCTCCATTGTTATAGCTTAATTGACCATATATGCATGGGTTTATTTCTGGGTTCTCTTTTCTGTTCCATTGGTCTATGTGTCTGTTTTTATGCCAGTACCATACTGTTTTGATTACTATAGCTTTGTAATATAGTTTGAAATCAGGGAACATGATGTATCCAGCTTTATTCTTCTTTCTCAAGATTACTTTGGCTATTCACAGTCTTTTGTGGTTTCATACAAATTTTAGGATTGTTTGTTCTATTTAAATTTTATTGAATCTATTTCTGTTTCTATTTCTATTCTATATCTAAATCTATTTCTGTTTCATTGAATCTATACATTGCTTTGGGTGGTATGGACATTTTAACAATATTGATTCTTCCAATCCATGAGCACAGAATATCTTTCCATTTATTTATGTCTTCAATTTATTTCATTAATGTCTCATAGTTTTCAGTGTATCGATCTTTCACCTCCTTGGTTAAATTTATTCCTAGGTATTTTATTATTTTTGATGCAATTGTAAATGGTATTATATTCTTAATTTCTCTTTCTGATAGTTCATTATTAGTGAATAGAAGGCCACCTGATTTTTGTATATTGATTTTGTATCATGCGACTTTACTGAATTCATTTATTAGTTGTAACAGTTTTTTGATGAAATCTTGAGAGTTTTCTATATGTCATATCATGTCGTCTGCAAAGAGAGATAGTTTTTCTTCTTCCTTTCTGTTTGGAATGCCGTTCATTTCTTTTTCTTGCATTAGTGCTCTGGCTAGGAGTTCCAATACTATGTTATATAAAATGTTGAGAGTGGGCATCCTTGTGTTGTTTCTGATCTTAGAGGAAAAACATTCAGCTTTTCTCTGTTGAGTATGATATAGCTGGGGGCTTGTCATATATGGCTTTTATTATGTTGACATATGTTCCCTCTATACCCACTTTGCTGAGAGTTTTTATCATAGATAGATGTTTTTCTGTATCTATTGAGATGATTGTATGATTTTTGTCCTTCATTTTGTTAATGTTGTGTGTCACATTGATTGATTTGAAGATATTAAACCATCCGTGCATCCCTGGAATAAATCCTACTTGATCCTGATGTATGATCCTTTTAATGTGTTGTTGAATTCGGTTTGCTAATATTTTGTTGAGGATTTTTGCATCTATGTTCATCAGCAATATTGGCCTATAATTTTCTTTTCTTGTAGTGTTATTGTCTGATTTTGGTACTGGATAATGCTGACCTCATAAAATGAGTTTGAATGTAGTCTCACAGTCTATTTTTTGGAAGAGTATGAGATGGGTTGGTATTAACTGTTCTTTAAAGGTTTGGTAGATTTCACCAATTAAGCCATATAGTCCCAGAAGTTTGTTGGGAGGCTTTTGATTACCAATTTAATCTCCTTAGTAGTAATCAGTCTGTTCAGATTTTCTAATTTTTTCATGATTCAGTCTTGGTAGAGTGTATATTTCCAGGAATTTATCCATTTCTTCTAGGTTGTCCAATTTTTTGGCATATAAAACTGTTCATAGTAGTCTCTTATGTCCTTTGTATTTCTGTAGTATCAGTTATTATGACTCCTCTTTCATTTCTGACGTTCTTTGAGTGCTCTCTCTTCTTTTCTTGGTGAGTCTAGCTAAAGTTTTGTGTATTTTGTTTATCTTTTCAAAAATCTACCACTTAGTTTCATTGATCTTTTTTATTCTATTTTTAGTTTCTTTGTTTCCATTCTAATCTTTGTAATTTTCTTTCTTCTACTAATGGATTTGTTTGTTTGTTTTTCTAGTTTCTTGAGGTTTAAAGTTAAGTTGTTTATTTGAGATCTTTCTTTTTTCTTAATTTAGGCGTTTATCACTATGATCTTCCCTCTTAGAACTGTTTCTGCTGCATCCCGTAGTTTTGGTGTTATATTGCCATTTTCATTTGTCTCCTATTTTTTTATTTCTCTTTTTATTATTAATTTGACTATGGGTTGTTCAGTAGCGTGTTGTTTAATCTCCACATATTTGTGAATTTTCCAGTTTTCTTCTTGTAATTGATTTCTAGTTTCATACTGCTGTGGTCCAAAAAGATGTCTGACATGATTTTAGTCATCTTTAATTTATTGACTTGTTTTGTGGCCTAACATATGATCTGTTCTGAAGAATGTTCCATGTGCTCTTTATTCTGTTGCTTTTGGATGGAATTTTCTGTATATGTCTGTTAAGTGCATCTGGACTAACGTGTCGTTTAGGGCCGATGTTTCCCTATGGATTTTCTGTCTGGATGATCTATTCATTGATGTAAGTGGAGTATTAAAATCCCTTACTATTATTGTATTATTGTCTATTTCTCTCTTTAGGTTTGTTAATATTTGCTTTATATATTTAGGTGTTCCTATGTTGGGTGCATATTTACAAATATTATATCCTCTTATTGGATTGACCCCTTTATTGTTATGTAATGCCCTTCTTTGTCTCTTATTATAGCCTTTGTTTTAAAGTCTATTTTGTCTGATATAACTACCTCAGCTATTTTTTGGCATCCATTTGCATGGAATATGTTTTTTCATCCCTTAACTTTCAGACTATGTTTGTTCTTACATCTGAAGTGAGACTCTTGTAGTTAGCATATAGATTGGCCTTGATTTTTTTATCCATGGAGCTTCTTTTGTCTGTTTTCTTGTAGAATTTAGTCCATTTACACTTAAAGAAATTGTTGATTGGTATGGAGTTATCACCATGTTGTTAATTGTTTTATAGCTGTTTTGTAATAACTTTATCCCCTTCTTTTGCTCTCTTCCTTTGTGATTTGTGATTTTTGGTAGTAGTGGGCTTAGGTTCCTTTCTTTTTATCTTTGTGTATCTACTATAAGTTTTTGCTTTGTTGTTACCAAGAGGCTTATGTAAAACAATTTATATTTATAATAGTCTATTTTAAGTGGATAACAAATTAAATTTGAATACATTCTGAAGCTCTACATTTTTACCTCCCCATTTTATGATTTTCTTTTTTTGGGTTTTTTTGTGAGGAAGATTAGCCCTGAGCTAACATGCATTGCCAATCCTCCTCTTTTTGCTGAGGAAGATTGGCCCTGGGCTAACATCCATGCCCATCTTCCTCTACTTTATATGGGATGCCGCCACAGCATGGCTTGACAAGCAGTGCGTCGGTCCATGCCCGGGATCCAAACCTGCAAACTCTGGGCCGCTGAAGCAGAATGCGCGAACTTAACTGCTGCGCCACCAGGCTGGCCCCATCCATATTGTTTTTGACATCACCATTTATATCTTTTTATCTTGTGTCTTCATTAACAAGTTATTGTAGTTATAGTTATTTTGACTTTGTCTTTTAAGCTTCATACTAGCTTTATAAGTGATTAATCTATAACCTTTACATTAGATTTTTTTGAATTTTACTATGTATTTACTTTACTAGTAAGAGTTATACTTATATGTGTTTTCTTGTTACTAATTACTGTTCTTTTATTTAAGCTAAAGAAGTCCCT